GTTGAACTGATGGGATTTTCTGTTTCTTAGCGGTAGGTTGTTAGAATGAATCTGCGTACATTTTAACAGTAAATAATTTGCACATTTTGTATCCTTTACGCCGTTTCCTTCACCTTGCCTGGACAGCAGACAAACTCCTGATCCAACAAGTGCTTATCCAGGAACAGTATCACGTCTGCAAATGACTCTGCAATACTGGCTCATAAAAGAGCTTTGTCAGTTATCCGTTTGTATTAGCATCATATTTGTAAGCAGAGCCTGGAGCTGAGTTTGGGCTGAGACATGTTACTGGTACTGGCTGCTCCATCTGACCCTGCAGCAAATGGTCTGACAGCTAAAGCAAGATAGTGTGGGATGATTGTGGTAGCTAACCCTCAACTTTGATGATTACAAACCAGTGTGCTGCATTTACTTATATTCCATATTTATAGGTTGACCCTGATGACCCTGAGTGCATCTGAGTGTTTGTAAAAATGCAGATGTGTTAATTACCATACAGAGAGAGAGGCTGCTTCATGGATGAATAAAAATAGGGGTTGGGAATATTGAATCAGCAATATATCCTCGTCCTGACTGTGATAAAATGATTGTATCAAGGGTGCCAAGTATTGATATTTCAATAAAAATAAATTAAAAAGGCGGTCTCAAAGATTTCCCTGCCAAATTGACTTACTGTGTTATGAGAGAGGGCAAAGTAAACAGAAGTTAGCCAGCCAAAGAAGAAGACTGCAGGATAATGTCAGACAACGGTGATAAGACAAGATGAAGCTGACATCAAATTTCTGTGATTGAATACATTACTCCTGCACTTTACTTTCTAAGGGATTTTTATATTCTTCAGTTATTTGGATATGGCGATGCATCATTATATGACTATCAGTAGATCAATTATCGTTGGGGCACACATCTGGATCTTCAAATATAATTTCAGGTCTTTCATCGTTTGAGTTACAAATGTAGATTGTGCCTGCATTAGATGCTGATCACACAAAATGTGACGCAACACACGTTACGATTCAACTCTGGAGCTTGTGTTGGACTCCTCCAGGAACGAGATGCTTCATCTCAAGGGGCCGTCCATCGATCAATTTACAATAAAATGATTTGTGTTTATTCCTTGTATCCACTCTTTCTATTAAGCATATTTAATGCTTCACTTTGTTATTACACTTGGGGTGCACTCAGACTAATCCCAGTTTCCCCGGCCCATACTGTGCTAAATACTGTACCCCCTGGCCTGTGCTTACAGTGCTCCAAGCCCAACTGGGCCTGAGCTTGCTAACCTCTTGTACATAAGTCATCATTGTAATACTGATAGTCCTGTATTTTCCTAAAGACCTTCAAGTTCTTGTGGGTTTTATCCAGCTGTGCCTAATTTGCAAGTAAACACTCAACCTCTGCATTCGACAAACGTGACCCCTTTCCTGCTATGGTTTAAAATCATTGTCAAGAGAAACGGTTGCATTGATTAGGCTATACGTCATGTCCACGTTTTGTTCCTGTGCTTGTGTTCTGCATGTGCACGAGCACTCGTACTGTGCTGAGGCACACCTCTTCCAACTGTGCCAGAGCCAAGGAATTCTTCCAAACTAGTCGGACTAGTTACACAATGGTCAAAAGAACTGGACTTTATGGGTCAAACGTTCAGCATGGTACAGTTTGACTTGTGTGAGTGCACCCTTAATAAGGGCGCTATCACCCTGGAAATCCGCACTGTGCCTAAGCACGCTTCAACCCTAAACTCCAGTTCTTTTGACCAGTGTTAGCGCTTAGTACCATTCTCAAGCACGGTACACTTCCTTGGCACTGGCACGCTTCGGAGAGGTGTGCTTCGGCACGGTACACCACGAGCACGAGCACGCGGGTACACAACGTTGACATCCTTTTATTATGGAGAAATCCGGAGTGTGCTTAAGTGAGTGCGCCCTAAATCTGCTTCTTTTGGTTTCAGTACAAGAGTCCTCTGACTTTTCTTTGTTTTTTCCTAAGTTGTTCTTCTATTGGACCAGTCAGCCAAACATGCACCAGCCCTCCTCTCCTACCTCCCTTTTTCCGTCACTGTAAGGCATGGTCACTAGTGCTGATTGAATATAAGGCTCACAATGTTACTCTGTACTTGGGATGTATTTTTTTCCCTCCCTTCCTTCACTTTTTGTTGAGAACTTGTTTGGCCACATACCTAAAATAGCTCTCTGACGTGTACAGTCCTGTTAAGGAATGTTACTGTGGCTGTCCAGAGTTCTCTGCGGCAGGAAGTTATGCAAACGTGCATTGCAGAGCACAGAGCCTTGTGATTAGGGTCCTGAAGGACTCAGTTCTTCAGTGTGTCTTTTTTTCCACTGCAGGCTGGCTGGATATTTGGCCAACAAGGTCCCTTTTTCTTCACACTCAGCCCATCTTGTGTACATTCTCCCACCTGAAAGCTGACTTTATGTATTTCTGAAAAAGTGAAACAGACGACGGCTTTCAGCTCAGCCCTGTGTATAGATCACAACCTTATCCTATCATTAATTTCTCTGCATTGCTTTTGTTGTTCCCACCCGCCATTTTTCTCCTCCCTGTTTTCCTATCCCCCTCCCCTCTGCCTTTCTCCCAGCTTCCACCCATCCCGCAGGGCGACTGCTTGTTTTATGTCTCATAGGGGTGGGGGGCGGGGTACGGCCCTGACCTCCACTGCTGAGCAGAAGCAGCAGAGTTACTTAAGAGGATTCCTCGCAGTGTCTGAGCTGCTGATTCACCATGTGTCATCATTGTTTTTCTCCAAGATGCAAAAAGGAATCTGTCACTATCTTAACAGGTCATTCATGATACAGGATTGACCAGATTCTTTCTATGATAGTGAGTTCATAAGGGATCTTGCTAATGTCAACAAGTGAAGTGAAGCTTGTGAAGGATAAAGTTGGATTAAAGAATATGTTCTTGCCTGATCAGCTGCTGTATTTATTTGTTGATATCATTAGGAAAAGTGAAGGTTCGTTGACCCATGTCACAACGTCAGAAAATGCTTGGTGTCAACATCTGGCACTCACTCGTTAAAGAGAGGAAAAGCGTAACTCGGTGCTGTTTTCAAAATGTTTGTTTGCCTGACATCTTTTAGCCATTGTGGATTATGGAAGATTAGATGAAATCCCACCAGTAGCATTTACACGTCTGACCTGAGACAATCTAGCCGGCACTGTTTCTTTGTTGCTCCTTGACTCCTAAAGATGCATCACATTGTGATTGTATTCTTTCATTGCTTTTAATCCCATAGTAAAGTAAATAAATGAGGACATTCAAGATGCTCTAGCAAAGATTCAAACAAGGGTCAGAAAACACTGAGTTGGAGTAAACTTCAGTAATTGTTGTTTCAGCCCTTTATGGTAAAGTTTAGCTCACTGTACGGTCTTATGGCTCATTCAAAATCACTGTCTTCATTTGCATTTATAAGAAACTTTGACCAGGGGGTAAATTCTGCTGTTGTTGGTCATTAAGCTGAAAGCAACATCAGCCTTTCCTTGCACATACATTAAAGCTGCTAAGTTGCAAAGCTGTTCCTTTCAAACTCTCTGAGTTCTCCTGTTGAACTTAAATGTATGGTTCAGAGCACTGTTTAAAAATCCGATTCAATGTTTACTTCTTGGTAATTACAGGACGACAGTGGAGCCAACTATTCTCATATGGTGCTTTCTTTCACACATGCTGGCAACTCCTGAAAACGTCCTGAAATTTTCACTCAGCTTTACCTGGATTGTTTTCCTGCCAGCCCCCCTTTCAATTTTCCATGTGAAGTCAGTGTGAGCTGATGTGAGAATCCAGCAGGAAATATTCAGAAAAACTCCCTGTGAATGAGTGAGAGGGGGAAGTGTCATCTATATCCTGCGTTCAGCAAACGGCCATAGACTGTATGTGGGCAACCGGTGTGATCACCATGCATGTAATGAACATGAGCAACTCGGCAAGATTTCAGGGGCAGTCTGCCTTAAAATGTCTAGAACTTTTCAGAGGGACATGTGTGATTATTGCTGGAGTTTGAGTTGTCTTTAGATAAATGTAAAAAGCCAACATGCACTAAAGCTGACAGAAGTGAGAGGTTTTGTTTCCAAAAAGGTTTCTCAGCCATCTTTGAGTGTTTAGGTTTTTCAGTACCGCTATATTCTGTAGATTGTCAAAATACTAACGTAAAAGAGCAATGACATCTTTTGAAGTAAGGAAAGGTGTTAAAAAAAAATCTTGTTTTTTTTATTTTTTGTCATTGTCGTCTAGCCCAATTTTCCAGTAGCATGGCTCATACATGAATCTCATGTTAACAACTTTTCTCAGGACTACTACTCCACCTCCTGTGTGACTGCCAGTTACATAGTTTTGACAATAATGACACCAGACATACTGTACTTCTATTGTTCTTTTGGCAACTGTCTTTGATGCTTCAGGCTCTTAAAGATACACTAAATATTCAAACGTTTCTTGTCCTTGCATGCATTTGAAGACGCACACTTTTTAATTTTTATTTCTTTTCATGTTTTTCATTGGTGAATTCAGATAGTCCTTATTTATACTGTCGAAGGCATGTTTTGAGCAAGTGGAAACCGCTGGTGTTTAAAAATGAAGTCAATGCTGTGCAAAAAATTGCAGATTTAAATTGTCATTTAATTTTTCCTGTTACTGACCTTAAATTGTCTGCGTTATTCGTGCTTTCATTGGTGTTTGGAATATGCTAGCTCGATGGCGACTTTTTCAGCAACTAACATGTTTATTCTGCTTGCCTCAGCTCAATTTCTTTGCCTGCTTCTTGATAAGCTAGAAGTTAGTTCGAGTCAGCATTTCAGAAAACAGTTGTGTGATGTCTTAGACACTTACGTCTGTGCTAGCTAACTTAGGAAGTATTTTACAAATGTGTTCTAACAGCCTGCCTGACATGAGTCTGTGTTTGCTTTCACATGACAACCGTGATGTTGCAGTAGTAGAAGACTGCAGCTTTGTTTTTTCTGCTTGTTAATGCCTTCTGCTCTCCTCCTCAGGATGGCTTGGACGCGCTGGTGTATGACCTTGACTTTCCTGCCCTGAGGAAAAACAAAAGCATTGACAACTTCTTGAATAGATGTAAGTAGTACACATCATCCTTTTTCCCCATACGCCTCTCTTTAACAACGATCTGTCCGGCACATATGCATTTGCAGACCCTGTTACATACCGGTATTTAAGACTGGGCCCAGGAAAAAAAGAAGGCTGTTTTTGGGTCACCGCTTCTATGTCGGCTTGGACACAATAGGTGTCTGCTGCTCAGTGTCCCCAACAAAGAGGCTTTCATAAATGGCTGGTGACCCACATGGTGCCTATCAGGATGGCTTCTCTTTTTCACAGTGCCCTTAAACTGGGGAATCCCCTAACTATGTTTGAACAACCTAAAGATACCAACGCAAAGGCTTATAGTCAGGCAACATCTATCCCCCCCCAACAGGTCAATGACAAACAACCAATGTCTTGGCATTGACATAAAAGGAAATGCAACTGTCACGTTCAGTGTTTATTCTAGGACTTGATCTTGTAAAGCCATCAGTGTTTGAGATGGGGGTGGGGCATCAGTGTTACATCATGGTGATATACATAATGTCTTTCATTTCTTAATTAACATACAGACAAACATATTACCTTAACACCTCAAATAAACAACTATTTCTTACTCCCACTGCTGCTGGTATAACTGCATAATTTGAAGCATGTTTTGTTGCCTTCACTCTTTTTATTTTCTTTGGTTTCTCAAAGTAAATAAACTAATATGTCAAAATCTATTTAAGATCTGTGTTCGTATGAATTATCAAGAAGGTAGTGACTGCTTTTTGCACTCTTGTTGTGGAAAGGCACATAAACATAATGCTGATGAGTTCATAAGCAATCATCAAGAGAGTCTCATGACCCCGGTTGATGTAGAAGTTGGCATGATCTGTCAACCCAAAGGGCAAGAAGGAATTCTAAACTGGTTAACAGTGAAGCTTTTTGCTGTGACTTTAAAACCTTTTTTTTTCAGTGTGCAGGAGTCTAAAATTCAGTATTCCATGTATGATAGACAGCCAAGGTTACTGTAAAGCCCTGCAGCCAAAACTGCCATTAAACATCTCCCCCATTACTGCTGCTACAGTACTTCTGTGTGTAGCAGCCGAGTGTTTGAGCTGCATTGATGGATATGGACTAATGGACTAGCTGTCTTGTAAGACACTGCTCCTCAGTTGCAGGCATCGCCTGAAGCTCTCTTTCCTCTGACACACTCTCCTCCATGCATTGTTCTTTACACCCCGATCACTTCAGCTGATCACTCCTCTGTATACATGCTGGAACCCACTGGATATCAAACACATGCAGTTACATACAGCATGTCTCTAACAGCAACATGGAATCCTTTTAGTACCTTTTCTAAACATGGTGTCTATGCTTCTTTAGGTCCTCTGGGATTGGTCCAAGTAGGGATCATGATCCTATGAACTTGTGTTCTGAGGGGGAAATGACTCACTCTTAAATGTTCTTCTTCTATCATCTCAAGCCTTGCTTTTTTTTGGTCTATCTTTATTTATTTAATTTTTTTGTTTTCGATCAATTGAACTCGATTCCCCCTTCACACAGCCCCGCCCACTTTTCATGTGCTTCTGTGCCAGTTCTGACCCATGTGAATTGGAAATGATCCCCCCCATAGTTCAGCCAGGACCAAATTTGGCTGAACCAGTGAATGCTATCTCTCCTAGGAGAGCAAGCTAGCATTGTTACATCAGGGAGAGGCCCAAAAACTTTCCCAAGACATCATCTCTCAGATGTGCAGAGGCGCTGTCAGCTTTTCTCGTCTGTTTGTCAACATGGTGGCTGACAGTCTTCTTTGAAATGCTCAATGCTAAGAAAATGGTTGCTGATTTTTTGCAACATAGACCTTTGATCTCAATCTCAACCAATCCATCTCCCAGGAAAATATGTGGCTAGTAACTAAGATTTACCGATAGTGACTTGCAGTAACATGATGTGAATGCACAGAGAGAGAGATAGGAGCTGAAGGTGCCCGTTCTCCTGGTGGTCCAAGACTATAGCAGCATAACTAGGAGCTGGTCCATACCTGCACGAACCCTAACTATAAGCTTTATCAAAAAGGAATGTTTTAAATCTAATCTGTTGTGTTTCTTCAATGCCAGAGACCAGTGCAAAATACGAGTAGTTTGGTTTACTGCTTAGCTCGTATTTTCTCTTAACATCTGTCTTTGCTTGTTTTTTATACAGACAAAGAAACCATTAGTAAAATCCGTGATCTACGCATGAAAGCCGTGGACTATGAGGTGGTTAAAGTTATTGGAAGGGGAGCGTTCGGAGAGGTGCAGTTGGTAAGAATGTTTTTTTTTTTTTTTTTTTGTTTGCTGATAACATAACAATATGTCAGTATTTAAGTCCACAATGATGTTTATATTTTGCTCTTAGACTGCAAATGTTTGTGCTCAAATAAGGCTAACCTTAAAGTCCCCTTTTTTAAAATCTCTCCAAGGTAAGACACAAAGCCACAAGCAAGGTTTACGCCATGAAGCTACTGAGCAAGTTTGAGATGATCAAGAGATCAGACTCTGCTTTCTTTTGGGAGGAGAGAGACATCATGGCTTTTGCCAACAGTTCATGGGTTGTGCAGGTATGTCACAGAAAAAATCACGTTCAAAAACCCACACAGACTAGTCTGATGTTATAATGTGACCGCTGTTTTATTTTACCATATTAACATTTTTTTTTTACGTTGTTAAAGCTAACTATTTCTTCTCTGTAGCTCTTTTTTGCATTCCAAGATGACCGCTACCTCTACATGGTGATGGAATACATGCCCGGCGGGGACTTGGTTAACTTGATGAGCAACTATGACGTCCCGGAGAAGTGGGCCCGCTTTTACACAGCTGAGGTGGTGCTAGCTCTGGATGGAATCCACGCTATGGGCTTCATTCACAGGTAACAACCAAACTCTACAGTCTCTCGGTTTCACTTGTGTTTATAGGTCTTGTTTTCAAATTATGTTATGGGTCAGTTTATTACCCTTATGGGTCAGCCTTAAAGATTTTGTTTAACGTGGTTGACGTGCATGTGTAAATTAATTTATCTTTATGGGGCTTGACACCTTTGAGATATGCAGAAGGCTCTAGAAGGTGTGGTGGCAACCTATGATCTAATGGGGCTTTGTAAAAGAAAGGAAGCAGCTGCTTTTAGCATAAATGCTGGTTACTTGCCAATGCTCTATTTATATGTGTGTGACTGCATCAATACTTGTTTCCAAAGCAAAGGTTCTGCTTACTTCAACACTAATGTCCCTCTAAATATCTTCCATAGAAACTAATCACAAACTAATGTTTGTTGTCATAATATATTACGTTGCTTCTCCCCCTGTGTCTCGAACCTTTTTATTTAGTATTTGTAGTGTTTCTAGTGTGTCCTTTCATTTATGTTTTATACCTGAAATTGTTTATGACACTTCTATTCCGCTAACTGTTGATCTTTTCATTTGAGCCTGACCGATTTGTCGGCCGGCTGATATTAGTATATCCAGTAACTATCATTATCGGCTAATTTTAATGCAGATATGTGCCGATTTAATACCAGTCAAAAAGCATTTTATTTGAGTATTGTTGTATTACACTAGCAGTTCTCTTTCTGGAGGTCACCAGCAGAGTTTGCTATTTGGATTATAACTAGTATCATCACTCCCTCGGGGTGTCAAGTGGTGTTGCACGTACAGTACATGCGCAGTTATTTTCCAGATGAGTAGCCATTGTGTCTGTGTCATAGGCAAGGCAAGTTTGTTTATATAGCACATTTCAACAACAAGGCAATTCAAAGTGCTTCACACAAGACATCAAAAGCATCATGACAGAGGAAAGAAAAGAAACATTAAAATAGAAAATTTAAAAAATCACTGAAATTATTAAATCTGAAAATATGTTCAAATGAAAATAATTCAAATGAAATTAATTCAAATAAAGTAAAAATATAAGAAGAGTTAAAAGTTACAGTGCAGAGTTAAAGTTTAAAATCTTATTAAAATTGTTTAATGAAAGGCAGCTGTAAACAGGTGTGTCTTCAACCTCAATTTAGAAGAGCTGAGAGTTTCAGCAGACCTGCAGTTTTCTGGGAGAGAAACTAGTTTCTGGGAGCATAGAAACTGAATGCTGCTTCTCCATGTTTGGTTCTGACTCTGGGGACAGAGAGCAGACCTGTCCCAGACGACCTGAGGGGTCTGGATGGTTCGTAATTAATCAGGAGGTCACTAATGTATTTTGGCCCTAAACCATTAAGCGCTCTATAAACCAGCAGCAGGATTTTAAAGTCTATTCTCTGACAGACTGGGAGCCAGTGTAAAGACCTCAGAACTGGACTGATGTGATCCATTTTCTTGGTTTTGGTGAGGACTCTAGCAGCAGCGTTCTGGATCAGCTGCAGTTGTCTGACTGATTTTTTAGGCAGACCTGTAAAGACACTGTTACAGTAATCAAGACGACTGAAGATAAAAGCATGGACAAGTTTTTCCAGGTCCTGCTGGGACATAAGTCCTCTAATTCTTGAAATGTTCTTCAGGTGATAGTAGGCTGATTTTGTAATTGTTTTAATTCTGGCCTTTTAAAGGGCTTTAAAAGCCACTTTTATTGAGGTCTGAGTCCATCACTACGCCCAGATTCCTTGCCTGGTCAGTGGTTTTGAGTCTTACTTACTTAAGCTGATTGCTGATTCTCTTTTTCTCCAAAAACAACAACCTCAGTTTTGTCTTTGTTTAGCTGGAGACATTTTTTTGCACATCCACTCATTGATTTGCTCTATGCATTTACCCAGTGCTTTTATGGGACCATGGTTGTCTTGCGACATTATAATATATATTTGTGTCGTCTGCGTAGTTATGATTGGAGTTATATTGTTTTTATAATCTGAGCTAGTGGGAGCATGTAGACGTTAAACAGAAGAGTCCCCAGGATGGAACCTTGGGGAACTCCACAAGTAATTTTTGTTTGCTCAGATTTGAAGTTACCTGTAGACACGAAGAAGTCCCTGTCCTCTAAGTAGGATTCAAACCAGTTTAGTGCTGTGCCAGAAACTCCCACCAAGTTTTCCAGTCAGTCGAGTAATATATTGCATATATACTGTATATCCTTCCATAATTACATTTGAGGGATCAATAAATAATAATAAATGAGATTATATACATCTATCTATCTCTACAGATTGGACATAGATCTAAGAGAGATATCGGCCTATATATCCGATTCAGATTTTTTTTTCTCCCCAATATCGATATCCTCATCGGCCCTAAGATTCCCATATCAGTCTGGCCCTAGTTTTCTTAGGGCAATCAATCTGTACACAGTTTTAATGATACCTTTTCTATGCATACACTCTTACGTATTTTAATTTCCGTCTATAAAATGGTTACAAATATTATTTTACTCACCAGGCTCCATGCACAGCTGCAATGCTGGAACATTCCCAGCATGACAGCTGTATTAAACACTTCTCTTGCTGTTTCCCCATTAACCTGCTGGATGTTGCAGTGAAAGGACATTTTAAGAAAACATAAATTCCACTCTCTCAGCCTCCAGCCTCCTTCACACCTCATTACATCTGACCGATGGCTTCAGAATACTGCAGCAACTCCAGACTGCTCCAATATGGAGAGCCTTTTCTTCTTTCTTTTTTTTTATAATAGTATCACCCTGAAGCCCCTCTGACTTTTAACAGCTCACATTCACACGTTTAGTGCTCCAGTTTTTATTGTTATATTTTTTTTAGTGTGATGTGATACCATTTCATGTTTGCCTCCTCAGGGATGTGAAGCCTGACAACATGTTGTTAGACAAAGCAGGCCACTTGAAACTTGCAGACTTTGGGACCTGCATGAAAATGAACAAGGTATGTCATCCAGTTCCCCTCAATATTATAAGAATTATACCTACATGCTGCATACATTATAATATTTCTGTGTAGAAATGTATGTTTTTGCTGATTTCTTCTTGGATGATTTCTTCTGTATAAAAAGTGTTAAAACTGAGGATTGTTTTCAAATTGCTTTTCTTGTTCAGGATGGTATGGTACGATGTGACACAGCAGTGGGAACTCCAGACTACATTTCGCCTGAGGTACTGAAATCCCAAGGAGGAGACGGCTATTATGGCAGAGAGTGCGACTGGTGGTCCGTGGGAGTGTTCTTGTACGAAATGCTTGTTGGTGAGTTGATGCTGAGAAGGCCGGCGTTAATTTAATCATACCTGTTATGATGCTTTACAGTTTTCTCAAAAGAACTAAAAGATTAGCATTTGTCTTTCAAACAGTTTTCTCTCACTGTGAACACAGTAGTAACTGCTGACTCTTGTTGCTCTTGTGTTGTGCACAGGCGACACTCCTTTCTACGCTGACTCCCTGGTGGGGACCTACAGCAAAATTATGAACCACAAGAATGCCCTGACCTTCCCTGATGACAGTGACATCTCCAATGACGCCAAGAACCTTATCTGTGCTTTCCTGACGGACAGGTGAGATAGGTGCAGGCTAAGGGCTGGATTCTGAAGAGGTTTTTTTTTTTTTTATATCTCAAGACCCTTCCTCTGTTTAGGCACAGATTTTTTTTCTCTCTGGCCTAGAGGACCCTCAGTGGAAAGTATTTTCAATAAGAAAATGTAGAAGTTGTTGCTCTTTGCATGTAAATATTTAAGAACTGCTTTAATTCTTTTATGTAAATCAGGGATTCAACTAATTATGAAACCCCCCCTGACTCCTACAGGGAAGTCCGCCTTGGCCGTAACGGTGTAGACGAGATCAAGAGGCATCCTTTCTTCAAGAATGACCAGTGGACGTGGGATAACATCAGAGAAAGTACGATTACTAATAACTTTTCACACCTCCTGCTTCGTTTTGGCAGCCTGCTCACTGTTACCGCGGCCCTGTAGCCAGCGATCATGTTTTCCATCTGACCTACTACAGACAGTCGCAGGAAATTCTTGCGGACGAGCCATTCATTCAGTATCCTTTCCAAGACCAAACGTGATTCCTGCTCAGAGTCGTAATTGGCAGTGGGGCGCTCTTTGAGGCCAACTGCAGGGGAAGCGAACGCTAATGTGCCAGGATTGACACTGGAGCAGAGAGAGAGAGAGAGAGGTTTAAAAGTAGAGCTAAATCCAGGAGCTGCAGTCAGTTCTTTAGTGGCTTTATATTTAATACTTAACTAGGCTGATGTCAGCACTTTGGTGCTGTTCCACTGGGCTGAGCTGCTCTGCTAGCTGGCTGGCCTCTCTTGTTTTAAGAGAGTTTCAAAAGAGATGTGTGAGGCAAAAAAACAGTGATACAGGGAAAAGTTCAAGATTTGTTTCTTTACTTTATAGCCACCTTGAGGGTAATATATCTCAGAATACAAACATGCACAATAACAGATAGCACTTGTTCAAAAAAGAGAGGCAAAATAGTGTGTGGCTGTATGAAGTGTAGTCTAAGTATTCATTATGAACCTAAGAAGCATCAAGAGACATTTGGATTGAACTCTGATCTGATTTATGGTTTCTCTTAGTTCTTGCACATAATTTCAGACTGTTATCACACCCAGTAGCCTTTTGTACTTGATGAACTGTGCTCAACTATCATGACTCATGATTTTTTTTCTTTTATTTTTTGCACGCTGTGTAGCGGCTGCTCCTGTAGTGCCTGAACTGAGCAGTGACGTTGACACCAGTAACTTTGATGATATCGAGGAGGACCGGGGAGAGGAGGAGACCTTCCCCATACCAAAGGCCTTTGTGGGCAACCAGCTCCCCTTTGTGGGCTTCACTTACTACAGCAACCAGCAGTGAGTCCCCTCTGATTTTTACCACCTACCGACTAACTTTGATGGGAGTCAATGTAAAGATGTTCTGTATAAGTCAAACTACTACAGTCCACATACTTAAACAAATATGTATGGAATGGATGGAGTGTTTCTGTTCTCATGGTAGAAATCACTTTGTCACAGTAGACATTGTTTGAATACCTGACTAAACCAGGAGTGTTCCTGTGATATTCCTCGTGTCGGCACTGAGTTCAGGAAAAGAGTGTTTAGTTTTGCTGCTCCCTTTGCGTGGAACTTTCTCCAGAATGACTTAAAACTAGCAGATCTCATTTCACTTGAAGCCTCCAGCTTGATCTTGAAAGACAAAACAACAAGAGACCATTTGGACAGTGTCTGTGTTTTTGAATTGTAACCTGTCATCATAACTTCAGTACGTTATCTACCAATTTACACATTTTAATCATTGTTGCTCTTTATTATGATGTGTGCTACTGCCTTGGCCAGGTCATCCTTGTGAAAGAGATCCTGACCTCAATGGGTTAATTACCTGGTTAAAAAAAAAGTGGAGCACATTTAAAAAGTCCTCTGTTGGCTTGTAAATACCTCTATACTTATAACATTCCTATACAGACTTATTTCTTCTTAGTAAACTGTGCTAGTGGATAGATTTTGGTTTGATATTATGTTGTAATAAAATTGTCGTCGTTATGTATGAATTTATAAAAAAAATGATGTTTTCTTTGCAGTCTTATACGTCGGTCCACCGCCTCAACAAAGACCAGCGACAAACGTAGCAGCTCCGCAAAGGAAGACAAGAGTCATGTAAGTAGACCATCACAATTTGTTTAAGTAAAAGTATACAGTAGGATATGTCGAATTCAGAATCAGAATCGGGTTTTATTGCCAAGCACATTTACACATACAAGGAATTTGTCTTGGTGTATTGGTGCAAAAACCAATTGATCCCCTTGTCACCTTAAATTCCTTTTCATTCAAGTTCTATAAGACATATAAGAGTGTGTGTTTCCGTTTAGCTGGAGAACCTGCAGAAGAGAATCTACCAGCTGGAGGAACAGCTCCACAGCGAGATGCAGCTGAAGGATGAGTTGGAGCAGAGATGCCGGTAAGGAGCCATATGTTGATTTGAACACAATAATAGTTTTTTAGGAGTTTTCCGCAAGTGTGAAAGCCCTGATATTTTCCAGAGGAGCTTGATTCTGTTGAACCACACGTAGCATTGATTTACATGCAAATATTCTCATTAACAGCATTAAAGTGTAACTTTAACACATCAAAGTATACATAAATGTTTTTTTTGTTTGTTTTTTTTCCTTTTAACTGTTTTGATGGTACAAGAAAACAGGACCTTACATTAAGTTATTATGGCATGGTTTCATATTCTCTCCAGGCTGTTTGTATGTGCATCCTTACTTGTCTTCGATATCAGAGCCACACTGATTTTTGAACACAGGAATGTTGTTTAGAATTTCAACATATCATGTAATACTGTGTTTTTCTTGTAATATTTCCTCCCCAGGACATCAAGCACCAAGATCGACAAGATCATGAAAGAACTGGATGAAGAGGTTAAATGCCGCCTCTTCTTCCCTCTTTAAGCATTTTCCTTCTGAGTCAAAACTAAAAATTGCATGATCTGCTGGTAATATCAATAACAAGAAACATGCACTGCTTCTCATATTTTGGGAGTACATTCAGAAAGGCTTGTTGAAGTAGTCGAAAACAGTTCTGATTAAAATCAGAGGCTAGATTAAGAATCGGTTTCTTCATTGCTGCATAACAGCTGCTCTCATGTTTCCTTGCCCGCAGGCGAACCTGAGGAAGACGACGGAGGCCAGCATGTCTCTGCTGGAGAAGGACAAGATCATGATGCAGCACAGATTCACTGAGTACCAAAGAAAAGCTGACCAGGAGGCAGAGAAGAGACGCAATTTGGAAAATGAGGGTAAAGAGAATGATTTGCTGCTGACGTGTGACTCAGACACTTTGCAGTTACGGTATAATTGCAGAGTGAAGCAGAGATGAGGGCGGTAATTCAGCAGAGATTCTGCAGCACGTCAATCCCCCATCATCTCAGTAATATCTCCCACAATGAAAAGCCTTTTATTCAAGTGTGTCCTTCATCTTGCTCGCTGCGAACTCAATAAAGGTGTCACCTTTGCAACTGTGCAATGACTGACAAGTAATCACTGTTACAGTTTAAGAGATGATGTTCTGGGAGTTTAAATTAGAATGAAATGAATTCCCTTGTTATCATGTTTTTTTTGTTCTAGTTTCAACTTTAAAGGAGCAGCTCGAAGATATGAGGAAGATCAGCCAGAACTCTCAGGCCTCAAATGACAAGATTCTCCAGCTGCAGAATCAAGTATGAAGCAAAAACATATTCAAACACCTCACGTACTGCCCAGACAATGTGGGAGAGTAATGCATTAACATCCTTTCTCGTGTTTTAATCACAGCTGGAAGAGGCCAATGACCTCCTGCGTGCAGAGTCGGACACGGCAGTCAGACTGAGGAAGAGCCACACGGAGGTGGGCAAGACGGTGAGCCAGTTGGAGAGCTTGAACCGAGAGCTGCAGGAGAGGAGCCGCGCCGCAGAAGGGGAGAAGGCCCAGTTGGAGAAGGAGCTCCTGCTTCTTCAGAGCACCCTGGATTCGGAGAGGAGGAACTACAGCCAGGGCTCGGAGGAGATCAGGGAGCTGCAAGGTGCCATGAGTCTGACATATGCAAAGCTAACGCTGAAAACCTTTTACAACTTGATTCCAGTTTCATTCCACCCTCTAGCTTACTCTATAAGGCAACGTTTAAATATATTTCTGCACGTTTGAAAATAACTCTTTAAGGCTAGTTATTGCACTCTCTTTAAGATACTTGAGCTTAGTCATTAGACAGCTGCAGAAATTAAAAGCTATCCCACATACCGAAACCCTGAAATGACCACAGCCGTCAAATGAGTCTCTGATTTATCAGTCAGCCAGGATTCTTATTTTAGACACCAGCTTATGAAAGTTCTAGAGTTAGTGGGAAAGAAGGGATTTGGATAAAGTAGGTAATTCTCTGAAGGTAAAACTATCTGTATGACGGTAATATAAAGGCGTTTGAAATTCAAACTATTGCTTCTGTTCACAGCGAGGATGGCAGGGCTGCAGGAGGACAACAAGAGCTTGAAGCTCAGCCTCTCCAAAGTGGAGGCGGAACGCAAACAGGCCCAGGAGAGGAGCAACAACCTGGAGAAGGTACACACTATATCAGTAATCATAGTATTTAAGCATATACAAGAAGTGCATCCACCCTGTAGAATTTTAGTGAATAGCTATTATTTTGTGTTTCTAATTGGATGATTGCAGCTTCACATTGTTTTTCTGCTCACCCCCCCACCCCCTACCTCCCTCCCCCTCCTCACAGGAAAAGAACAACCTGGAGATAGACCTGAACTACAAGCTGAAGACTCTGCAGCAGCGTCTGGAGCAGGAACAGACCGAGCACAGGGGGACGCGGGCACAACTCACTGACAAATATGAGTCTATTGAAGAAGCCAAATCAGCTGCCATGAACGGTATGCCAGTCCTGTGTTGGAGCACGTCCTTTCATGCTGTTTTTTTTTTTCTTTTACCCCGATTTCTTTTTTTTCTGAAAATTTCTCTCAAATCCCTCTAGAACTTTTATGTCTCTTTATTTCTGTTGCATCCCCCACTTTTATTTGTATAACCTTCTTTCTGACGTTCTCTGCATGTTTGGTCGTCCCTGTCTGCCATCTGATCAGACTCACCTACAGGTGATGTTTGGGTGGGAGGAATGCAAGGCAGCATGTCAGGACATCAACTCATGCATATTAAAGCTGGACTCTGAACTAGTTGTTGCAATAAATGAATGATCTGGTGACTCTTACCTTTCACCTGAACTTCTTCTGCCCTTTTTTTTTTTTTGTTACGTTTCTTCTGAACAGACTTTCTAATAATAACAGCTCCTCTTTTTGAATGGAAAAATACAGATTTTGTTTTGTAAAGATAATCTTTATGCTGTTTCCAGATCAAAGAACACACATTTTTTTTTGTTGGAAAATAATTATTCCTCTTTTAAAAAGAGCTACCACCATAGCTTCTTTAAAGAAAATTAAGAGAAAAATAATGATTGGCAGCTTACAATCTGATTTTGTGGAGGTCCAGCTCTGTCAGCTCTGTTTTTTCAGCTGTTACTCAGACTTCTATTAATGATCACAGCCCAGTAGTGGTGCAGTTTCTGCTCCTAAATTCCCTCATATAGTTATCGACTACGAAAGGGAACTTTCAGAATTGGTCAGTTTAGGTGGATGGATTGTTCAGAATACCAAGCTCGCTGAAATCATCATGGAACGTTTGTCAGATTGTTGATAAATCACTTCGTCTGCAGCAGAGTGAACAATTGAATGTTATTTCTGTTCAAACTCCAGCTGTTCAGCAGAAGATGTCTGAGGAGAACGGAGCGAGGATGCGCGCGGAGAGCCGGGTAGTGGAAGTAGAGAAGCAGTGCTCTATGTTAGAGTTTGACCTGAAGCAGTCTGTGCAGAAGATGGAGCAGCTGATGAAGCAGAAAGAACGGCTGGAAGATGAGGTAAGTTGATCCCCTCTTAACTGTGGCTACTGCAGTCCTCTTTATGATGTACAACTTTATTCAAATGAATCTGCCTCTCTGTCTTTTGTCTTCCTCCTCCAGGTGAAGGATCTGAGGATACAGATAGACCAGGAGTCCAGCAAGCGCGTGCAGGCACAGAACGACCTGAAGGGCCGCGTGCAGGAGGTGGACCGCCTTCGGGTTTCAGAGAAGCAGCTCAAACAGGAAACCAACACGGCTCTGGAGAGTAAACGCTCGCTGGAGTTCCAGCTGGCTCAGCTGACCAAGTGAGTGTTCTTAAGGCGTTGGAATGGACGACTTCTCTTCTGTTTTTTTGAGACTTTGTCTAAATCAATTGTGCAAATAATTGATCAAACAGGCAATTCTGATCAATTATAAACACTTTCTCAAGGTTAAATAAGGAAAAGTTCATGTTACCAAGACCATTGGGTTCCCTAATTTTACTATTAATAAAGTTGGCAATAGGTCTAGCCAGGAGCTTTAATTTTCTCCTCCTGCTGCACAGGCCAGTAATGCTCTTTGGAAGTCGAGGTGTAAATGAGCCCACAATTGCCTGTGATTTTCAAATTAGTGCTATTATTGCAGCTTAGAGGGGTGACTCTGCCAAAGCTGTGCTGCGACAGTGTTTACATCAGAGGATTAGCTTCACTCTGTGTCCAGCTCCATTTCCCTTGTTGCTAATCCTCTGGCTAGTGCTATAGCCAGTGCTGTTGGATGGGCTGCAAGTCAACATTTCAAGGCAGAGGCTGGCTAAAGAGTGTTGCTTGGAAAGTGCTGGAACCTGAGGATGTGAACAATTTGCTAAATTCATGAATCTATGATGTGCATAATGTTTTTTTCTTAATGTGTTCATAGACAATACAGAGGCAACGAGGGACAGATGAGGGAACTTCAGGACCAGCTTGAGGCTGAACAGTATTTTTCTGTAAGTACGAGTCCACAAAACCTCCATCCACTTTGCTTAGTTCAAAACAGCAAGCTAACCTTCTGTCTGTTCCCCCCCCCCCCCCACAGACACTTTACAAAACTCAGGTCAAGGAACTAAAAGAGGAGATTGACGAAAGGAACCGGCACGTGCAAGAGGTTCATAAAAAGGTGCAGGATTTGTGCAGCGAAAGGTAAGAGCGACTTTTCCAAAGATCAAGTATCCGCTGAATGGTTAATGTCCTGTTGTGTTGTTCTTACTGGGGTTTGATCGTAAAAAAAATCCATTAGGCTAAAGTGTCGAGGATGTTAAACTAATACAATGTGTTTTATTCTACACAAAGGGACTCCCTGTCTGCCCAGCTCGATCTGACGGTGACAAAGGCCGAGTCAGAGCAGCTCGCCCGGGCACTTCAGGAGGAACAGTACTTTGAGCTCAGCCAGGAGAACAAGAAGGCAGTGACAAGACATAAGCAGGAGATCATAGACAAGGAGTCAACAATTGCACGGGTGAGAAGTCCCTGAATTCTCTCCTTTAATACTATTGTTTTACTCCCCTCCTTCATCATCATCATACGCTTTCAAGCTTCTCACCCTCTAACTTGTGTGTCTGCAGCTTGAAGATTCTAATGCAACTCTTACCAAAGATGTGGAGAACCTCAGCAAAGAGAAGGCTGAGCTAAGTGAGAAGATTCAAGCTCAGGAAGAAGGTACTGCCTATGCACTAACCTTCCCCTGTCTGTTTTTTGTTATAATTACGCGGTTTTACAAACTGAGTGTCTTTGTCTCCACAGAGTATGTAGCTCAGAAGGAGGAGATTTCAAATTCAATCAAGGCCAACTATGAGAAGGTCCTCAACACAGAGCGCACGCTGAAGACTCAGGTAGAGATTCACTTTTGTTTTTTAGACAAAGGCAGTTTTCAAACACCTGAATGGCACCAATGCAAGTTGGATAATGGTCGTTAGTGCCTTCCAGCTGTTAACCTATTTTAATTCGTCAGGCGGTGAATAAGCTGGCAGAGATCATGAACCGTAAGGACATGAAGCTGGACCAGAAGAAGAAGGGCAGCACAGCTGACCTGCGGAAGAAGGAGAAGGAGAACCGCAAGCTTCAGCTGGAACTGAACCAGGAGAAGGATAAGTTTAACCACATGGCCATCAAGTACCAGAAGGAGCTGAGTGAGATGCAGGCAGTGAGTAGCAGATCTCCGGTTAATAGATGCTCTTATAACGCTCCTTTAAAAAATATTTCCTGCTAGTAAACATTACGTGGGCTTTCCAACCAACAGCAACTTGTGGAGGAATGCACATATCGCAACGAGCTGCAGATGCAGCTGGACAGCAAGGAGAGCGACATCGAGCAGCTACGGGAGAAACTGAGCGACCTGCAAAACTCCAGCGTCACCAGCCTGCAGAGCGATGAGACGGACAGCAACATCGCAGGTAGGGTCGACACGGGGGCAAACTGGACACTCCTGCTGCTCGTTTTGCTTTACACATCAGTAACTCCTCAACACAGAATCCCTGAAAAAAAAAGTTTCAAAAATAGAAAATTTTACAGAGCCATATTTGATAACTTAAATTTTCTTTCTTTTATCATTTATCATTCACACAACACAACAAATAATTTACAGTTTCAGGAGAGAGAGACCTTAAGGGTGGAAGTAATAAAAATTGTTGATAAAAATGAAGATTATGGGAAAAAAAAGATGTGGTCAGAAATTAACGTGATTAGATAATCACCATGCATTTTATACAACAGACATTTATCATTTACAACATGCAACTTTTTTTACTGAGATTTATTCTTTACAGCACGCAAATTTGTTACTTACACCTTAAAAACAAAAACAAAAAACTAGCCCGCTCTTCAAACCGCTCAAGACTCGGCTTTACCGTCTGATCTGCCAGGAGAGGAGGACGCAAGCTACAAAGTGAATTCAAGCTGCTATTTCATCACTGAATTTCCATCTTCAAGTTTTTTGAAGTGAGAAATTAACGTCGGTGTTTACAAATATTACATTTTACTATCAAAAATCCCCTCCGCTGTTTCAGAGTGTAGAAAATCCACAAGGTCAACCGGGGAAGCTGGCCAGCCAGTCCCTCCTCCTGCCCCGCCGTGGCACAGAGCACCATACAAAACACCCATTTTGTTTATTTTCCTTTAACTTGTACTTTGCAATGTTTAAAGTGTATGTATGCATCATTCAAATGTATCTAATATCAGCAGAGGCTCTGAATGATCTGGTTGCTGTGGTCTGTGTCACTGCCTGGCAGGAGGATTAAAGGAGGATGTGATACTTTAGATTTAGTACTTTGAATCGATCTCATTACCAAACATTATATTGAGTTGTTTTGGGGGGTTGCTATGACATCATTTGTCCTTGTTGAAATCGATAACCTTGAGTTTGTCTCAAACCATTCAGAGTGAAGTGTTCACTGAACACACTCTTCATAACATGTCTGAGAACTCAGGTTTAGTATTAGAGGAAACAAAGTATCTAACACATGACTTGACAACTATACATATTATTCTAGGTGTGTTTTCATTGATGCTGCTGTCTGTGGTTAAATCATGTTCTCTTTATTCCCCTCATATCCAGCTGGTTCTCCTCTCCTTCTTATCTTTGTAACTTCTATTCCTTTCCCTCTGTGAGTAACTTGAGTGGACATTAAGCCCCCTCTTGCCTGGCCTGTGCTGCAGTTGTTGTGTGTTGTTCTTTTTTTTCTCTCTTCCTTTTGCCTCTGATTTTTTTTTTTTTTTTTTTTGGAATTAGTATTCTTTTTGCCAGAGGTGAGAAAACCATCTCTGTTGGGGGTGAAACACTTTTGAAAGAAGCCTGACGGACTGAAGAGAGAATGTCTCGTTTCCAAAATTGTCCAAACCGTTTGACAGACAATATTTTCTGAAACACTGACCTGAATGGGATGTGAAGCAGAGACGCTTGTTGTAAGACTTCTTTATGTCACACAAGTTCAGCCCTAACGGTGAAGTAACCACATCAGACTGTACCAGACGACACCCTGTGTGAGGTTTACCGCCCTCGCTCGCAGGCAGCAACTTTCAAAACGTGTCATGAAACTGTTAGAAAAAACTGTTTTTGTAATTCACAGCGCTGTTTTTGTTTTAACACTCTTCAATGTTCTAGTCGGCATGTTCACCCAAGAAAGCACTGCTCGTTTGGACACACAAAGACCTCCCTCACAGCGTCACATGTAGTAGACGAGCCCTTCTGAGTTCACTGCTCCCGTTTAACTTGTGTTGTTTCAGCTGCATGCGATTGGACTTATCATTTTGACAGTGGATCATGTATTTAATCTGCAATGCACATGGTTGTTTGTATGAAGTGAGTGATCAAGATCATTTAGAGAAAATGAAAATTAACTCCTGCTGCTATCATCTGATTACAAGGCTTTTTATCTTAATCTGTAACGATACACTCGTTTAACATGCTGTTAGAATAATGTACTCATGGTTAATATTTCCCTCCTTGCATGAGGAGTGTGGAGAAGCAGCATGGGGTCTCTAAAATCATCTCTTATCACCTACTCCAGTGCAGATACCTTAAAGCTTGCAGAAGTCCCTACAGCGTTCCCCTGGTGTTTTCAAACACTTTTGACTTTTGTCTCTCAACTTTAGATTTTTAGTTTTTTTTTCCCAGTTAAGTTTGGATTCAAACACTGCATGGCCTGTGCGTGACCTTCACAATACTTTTTCTAATTATTTTGTCTTTTTATTCTGCGCTGCTTTTCAGAATCCAGGCTGGAGGGTTGGCTGTCCATTCCAAACCGCGCTAACATCAAGCGATATGGATGGAAGAAGCAGGTATTGTTGTCTTACTCGGTGCTTCCTCTTTCTGCCTGCATTGTTTCGAAGTCTGCTTCGCTTTGTTAAGAATGCTGCCAACCCCTCCAGGGCAGTATCCGTCTTCCTCTCATTGTCCTTTGAAATATTTGCAGTATGTGGTGGTGAGCAGTAAGAAGATTCTGTTCTACAATGACGAGCAGGATAAGGAACAGTCCAACCCCTCTATGGTACTAGATATTGAGTAAGTTTTTTATTTTACTGTCTTTTTTTCTCACTTAAGGTCATACTGCAAGTGTTCTTATGGATATGTCTTTGCTAATGTTGTGCCTCTTTGTACAGTAAATTGTTCCATGTGAGACCAGTCACACAGGGAGACGTGTACCGAGCGGAGACGGAGGAGATTCCAAGGATATTCCAGGTTTGTGGGGGCTTATTCCTGTCCTGGAGATAACCCTAGATTTCCATATATTTCATATTCACCCTGGGGAGTTTCTTTTTCTGAATTTTGACCCTCTTTCTCTGTTTGTCTGTTTGTCTGCAGATTCTTTATGCCAATGAGGGAGAGTGCAGGAAGGAAGCGGACATGGAGACGGTCCCTCAGGGCGACAAGACCAACTGTCTCCCACACAAAGGCCACGAGTTCATCCCCACGCTGTATCACTTCCCTTCCAACTGTGAGGCGTGCGCCAAGCCTCTGTGGCACGTTTTCAAGCCGCCTCCGGCCTTGGAGTGCCGCCGCTGCCACGTCAAGTGCCACAAAGACCACCTCGACAAAAAGGAGGACGTTATCGCCCCTTGCAAAGGTAAACGCTTCTCCTAGATTGTCCAAGCTGTGACTGACTGATGAACACGTCACAGTTTGAGAGCTTGTTTTTGTGGTTTCAATCAATGTTAATGTTTTCAATGTCTTTAAAGGTGATGTTGAGGAACTCATCAAGCCAGAGGGTGTTGTTAATGGGGCATTTAAGTTTATAGATGTTTTCAGTCATTGTATTCAAACAGTAAATACAGTCGCACCTTCATCTAACTTCACCATAAGGTGGTGCTCACAAACTTAGTCAGCCAATAAGTTTAGTTACAGAGATATAAAAGTTAATACAGCAGTATTTGACAAGTGATGGATTGTTTTTTTTTTCTGTGTGCTTATGTTTTATGATCGTAAACTTACCGTTAAAAAGTCTATAGGTCTTCTTTAAATCAATATGTACTGGTTCTAGCTCCTTAAATGTAATAATTGTCTATTTGTCTTCGGTGGGAGTAAACTGACTGTCTTTGGATTTCAGACAGTTGGCTGGGTAAAACATTTGTCTTCTTGTTTGAGGACTGCCCTAAAGATGCAGTACAGTTTACAGATCACGTTTGTCAGATTTGATTCTTGACCTGTGCGACTTCTTCATTATTCTCTTCTCCCCCCCCCCGCAGTAAACTACGACGTGACCTCTGCCCGGGACATGCTCCTGCTGGCCCTCACCCAGGATGAGCAGAAGAAATGGATCGGCCACCTTGGAAAGAAGATCCCTAAGACCCCGCCATCCACATTTTCAAGAGCCTCACCTCGATCCATGTCCACTCGCTCCGGACCCAACCAGTCCTTCCGCAAGAACCCTAAAAGCAATACAGGAAAGCTGAGGTAACTTTACAATCTATGACTCACTTGCCCGCATTCTTTAAATGTTGTTTTTTATTTTTTCTCAGTAGGACAAATACATGAAATGCAATAAGGCACTGTGATGTTGTTTTTAGGCCGTAAGCGAGGGTGTGCAGCGGTCACAAGTCTAATTTTATCCCCTCTGCTGGGCTGAAGTGTGGTCAAGCAAGTGGCGTGACCTGCTGTTTGTCTCCTGTGTTGTAGCAGAGCGCAGTCCAGCCTCCAAGCAGCAGACACTACATCCAGCACTTGTTGACAGGAACTTCTTCAGAAAGTGTTGATGTTTGGTTTTTTTAGACATTCCTTCACAGCTTTAAACTTTGTCTATTTATTAATTGTGTTCCTGGGTGTTTCTAACACGAGACACTTCCTGGTTGGTTGGTTAACTCCTGGGCTCTTTCCAGTCGACACTTGGGACTTTTCTAATTGGCACTAATGTGTTGTTGGGCTCAGTAACTAACTCATAGGCTTAATATTTTACTCTGGTTAGTAAGTCCACATTAAAGGACATTGACATCACCTGTTACAATGTTTATAAAGCAGCTTGTTTTTTTGTTGTTTGTCGACTTAGATTGGGTTACTAACCGAGGTAATGATACTGTGTCTTTCTTTCACTGGACACCTGCCTCTGCTCTTTCTTTCAGCTAACCATCTGAACCGTTTGGATTTTTTCTGGACTCTAAACTTTCCCCTCCTTCCTCATTCTTGAAAACAGAAGCCTGTATTTTGTCAAAAATCCATAAAAAAGAGAAAAATTAAAATGATAAATACACAGCGCTGGAAAAATTGCAACGCATGTCACACAAAAGGCATCGTGGACATTGAGAGAGGTCTGATCCCTCAAACCCTTCCGCAGCTTTTCCTCATTCAAGAAGACCGCCGTCATCCAACTCATCAAACTTGCAGCGCTCCATTTCTACCAGAAGATGGCGCCCTCTTCTTGATCTAAAGATTGACTCTGGAGTGGAAAAAGAGGGACGACACATGGCATGGAGACATTCTGTGTTTCATATTATACGACAGTTTATGATGGAAACAGGAAGGTAAAAGGGGGGTTTGCTGGGACTGCTGCAAGTATGTGTTCAGCTAAAGGTACTGTCATACAGGGATTGCATATCTGCAGTGAGTGGTTGTGTCTCAGGGGTGGAAAATTAATATCTGTTTTGTCATTTCTTTCCCCAATGTGACAGATACTCCAGCTAAATGCACGCATACTTCTGTTTCCATCTAAGAAAAAAAAAAAGACAGATGCCTTCATTTAATATCTCTGGCCTTTTTGCCTTTATTCATATCACTCTTCAAGTCAATTATCAGGTTTGGGACAGAGCATTTGGACATAAGTATTAGATATTTTGAGTATTGAGTGAGGAGCATGCAAGATCACCATTTAAATCTATGCATTATTTTTATTATTATAATTATTTTTATTGCTCCAAGCCATAAGTAAAATTCCATTGTAATGGCATATAAAACTTATTTGATTTTTGTTTCTGTTTATTTGGTACATTGTCTCTGTCATATTTTTTTTTCTTGTATTGTTTATTTTTTGTAATGTATTGCCTTACATTGATTCATAGATACATGGTTGAAAAGGAAAACAATAAGTTAACAAATGTAAAACTGCACTGTTTGAATTGTAAATTATTTGTAGACTAAACAGGTGTAGCATTTGGCACACCTAGTGCCTTAACATTTGGATATTGATTTTACTGCCATATCTGTTTGCTTTTTTCCTCCTCTGAAACATGACAAATCTTAACTCTTCCACCTTTTTTTTTTTTTTTTTTTTTTAAAGAAATCGCCACACGTCTGTGGTTTTATCGGAACTTCTTTTCTCTGGTTTGAGTATATAAAATATATATATTAGGTTATGTCTTTATGGACACATGCAATAGAGTTAACGTGTTAAGACAAAGTCCCCACACTTCGATTCATATCACAAAACAAAGTTCAGGATGGTGTACCAAAAGAAACCTGCCTGTGTCAGTGATTGTCCAAGGTAACAATTACAAGTTTGTTTCTCTAACACGGTAATGTCCCGTTAATGCAAACCCCCAACTGTGTATATAATGAGAGAGACATAAAGATTATGGAATACCTCCGCAATCTTTTTATTTGTAACTTTTTGTTCAGCTAAAAAAGCACTGGAACTATGATCTACTCTTGGATAATTTGCATGGTTAATTGCATTGGCATTCGCACTGAAAGATATGTTAATAAACATATCTTTATCATTCATTGTACACTAGTCTTCAATTCAATTATGGGTTTCATATTTGTGTTAACAGGTTGTATATGGGTTCACCCAAAGACATGATAAGCAGCCATGCTGAGTGCACAGCAGCCCCTGAAGCCTCACTGCCCCAGCTTTACTGTATCTGTATCCCATCTGACTTAAAAGTCTGCAGAGCAGAAGCCAAACATCAGCTCACTTTTTAAGGGGCCCTAATGTGAGTCCTGTTTATAATCTTACATATTTAAGTACTTCAAAAGAAGTTATTTGGGTTTAAGATATATTTCATTTTGGGCTTTAACATGGACGTGAATATCTCAAATTAATTAACTTATTATTAAAGTATTACAAAGTTAATATTTGACAGTGTAGTATTTTAGCATAGACAATCGCTACAAATTAAACAGGGATGAATAACAAGGAGCTAAATGGAGTCCAGATTGTAGATATTCAGCAGGATAACAGAAACGAGAGCACACAGATTCAGTTGTTTCTTATAACCTTGTGAACAGAACCACACCTCAGTAACAACAACCCCTTCACTCAGATAAATACTGTAATTAATGCGGCAGAATGATGTCTAAGGCAAATCTAATCTTGGCGGTGTCTGTCTGGGCTCCGCTCATGAGTCAGGCCTGGCGAGCTGATGTCAGAGCGCATCGATCGCAGCGTGTTGTTGCAGCGTCATTCTGTTTGAATGAAGTTCAGACGGAGAACTAGCCAAACTCTTCATTCGCGCCCCGGAGGACTGAAACAGGAAAAACAAAAGAGTTCAGGAAGTAAAAGGTTGCCAAATATGCCGGTGTTTACAGGTACGACTCTCTTTTAATGCAATAATCAATTGCCACTTAAGAATATATAAGACATAAACGCACACGTGTTAAAGTGTAATATGTAAAAAAAAAAAAAATAGCTTAGCTAGCCTTAGCATGATCTGCAGCTAGCATGCTAACGGCTACAGGCTGCCTGTCAACCTTGTTTAGGCCACTGTTAAAGATACTGTAGAAAACATTATTCAGACACAGATGAGAATACAGAAGTGATGTTATTGTGTTACTGCTTCTTATGTACCATTTAAGCGTGGGCGGCTTTACCAAAACTCATTTTAATAAACTTCACCAGAAAGCAGCTCCTGCCGCTGAGTGCTAGCTCGATTAGCTGCACTAGCTACTGAACACTGAACGCTGACTTGAGTGGTTTTAGTTTGTTATTTTAAAAGCAACAACTTTTAAAATCTCAACTCAGTTATTTTCTGCTTTTTTTTCCCTCGCCTGTGTAATCACTGTCCATGTCTTGAGTTGAAACCGGTGTGAATTAAACTGATTATCGCCTTAAATTAGCTTTAGGTAGCCTTGCTTGCTATGGTAGGCAAATCATGATTGTACACTTATTAAAAGATTTGTGCTGCAGTGTCTTGTTGTTAAAGCCCAATTAAGAGAAGAAAACACGAGTTTGTGGTTGTAACGTGACCGTAGTCTTTCTGCTGGTTTATAAAAACAGCCAACAAAACCGTGTAATACAAGTAGTCATGTGGACTCTGCATGTCTGACACCATGGCTCTCTCTCTCTGCTGTTTCTGTGTCATACATGTCAACAGTGCAACAAAGTCACTCTGCCACGCTAACGTGGACTTATTCGTCTCTTTTTTTTTGTAATTTTCTTTCAGTAAATGTGAAATGGGGCAAAGAGAAGTTTGATGCAGTGGAGTTGAACACTGAGGAGCCTCCCATGGTGTTCAAGGCTCAGCTCTTCGCGTTGACAGGAGTTCAGCCGGACAGACAGAAGGTCATGGTGAAGGGAGGCACTCTGAAGGTACCAGAACATAAACAACATGCAGTCCTCTGACCCTCGTGAAAACCCACGCTGCAGGTTGAGTTTTAATTGGAAGGATAAAGCGGTACCTTCTGTTTGTTTTAAACATTAAATAACTTAAATAAAAACAAACACGTATGAATTTAAAAAGTAACAAGCGTGACGTATCTATTCAAAGACAAACTCTACACATTACAGCCTTGTCCACAACTATTTAAAGATTTTTTTTGTTAGGGGCTATTTTGCCTTTTATTGGATTGGACGGCTGAAGAGAAACAGGAATTGTTGGGAGGAGAGAATGAGGATGACTTGCAGCAAAGGCATGGGCGGTTCTAGGCAGGGGCCAACAGGGGCCAGTGCCCCCCCCCCCCCCCCCCCCATAACACATACACAGTATTTGACTCAATAACCGGACTCACAATCTAGTCTTAAATACTGTTACTGAAACAAATATAAATCATAAATCATGTTATTTTATTTTGTGGTATTTAATGATGTGTGCTGTTATTTGGCATAATATATATTCTTTTAAAGCGATCATCTTTGTCTATTTTTCACCTGGGTTTAATGCTCCCCTCTGACAAAACAACTGGCCCCAGTTTGGCCCCCTCAGTAAAAGTGGTCTAGAACCGCCACTGAGCTAAGGGCCGAGGTCTGATTCCAAGTCAATGCCACTGCGACGAGGACCATAGCCTCTGTACACGGGACGCAAGCTAGGCCAAATCAATTTTAACACCAATGAGCAACACAGTTGTATGCAGTGACGTGTATCTTTATTACACCAAGGATACATTGTCCTGATAAACTAAATAATGATAGAGCATACAATGTTTATTTATCCACAGCTGAAACCAGTCAACCCTTTCAAGGCATTATTTACTCTAGTTGGGTTGAATTCACAACTACAGTGCCTGTCTGTTTGAGGAATTTAGATTTAGAAATGATTCCACCTATTTCCACATTTCTATTCAAAGATCTTTTTTTAAGAACCAGTGAATAAAAGGTCAGAGGAGTCAGAAAGTGTTAAAAACGTTTTCTTGGCGAGGGTCAGTACTCTAGTTTTTCCTATTGTCAAAGATTCCAATGCTAGGTTTATCTTTTGTCTGTTTGTAAGAAGCTAACCAATGTGTTGTCCTCATTCTAGGATGATGAGTGGGGGAACATTAAACTGAAAAATGTGAGTATTTAAGCAGTGTTTTGATAGGTCTATAAAGCATTTTTTTTTAAAGAGCTATACTACAAAATGCCTTCTAACAAATACATGATTGAACTCTAATGTGTTTCTACTCTTTTCGCAGGGAATGACTCTGCTGATGGTGGGCTCAGCTGATGCCCTGCCTGAGGAGCCTTCTGTCAGGCCCATGTTTGTGGAGGACATGACTGAGGAGCAACTGGCCTCAGCGGTGAGTAAGACTGAAATTTACCAGTACACCTTAAACAAATATGGTGATTGCGGTTTTCTGCACTGACATGGCCAGTTAAACACGTTTCCTCAATGTGATGTTTACCAAGTACAGAGAATATCAAACATTTAATACACAGTATATGCCCGTTCGAGAAGATCAGCTTCTGAAAATGAGACTCTTCATCAATAGTAGTGTTTATCTGATCGAGATGTTCTTTTGATAAGATAGGTGGATGTCCGCAAGGTGCTTTGTTAATGGAAGGACTCATGCCAATGTCACAAAACTGAAAAGTATTATTAAAAAGTATAAGAAGTAGTCATATGCACAGTGTTTAGTACACTATATACTTAATGCATATGAACTAGAAACTGTTGTGACACTTGGTACTAATCGGCTGTTTGGTCTCCTTGCAGTCAGGAAATGATCAGGTCCTCTAAGCTTAGAGTCTTGTTTTAAGAGGAAAGAGAAAAGCTGATGTGATTGTCTGTGCCGCTGCAAGCTGTGCTTTGAGATCCAACGAGTTTAATGGTTTCTTGTGTTATCAGGCCATCACAGATGGGTCTCTCCCAGAACTAATGGAAGATTTGGGAAATGGCAACGAATTCCAAAAAACAGAAGAATTAAATTACTATATAAATTGAGGGCATGAAACTGCATGTTTTGTAAACAGATTTTTACAGTACTTTGTTTAAAGACGAACATTATTTTTACAGTACACACTTTAAGATGAAATATACAAAAAATATAGAGTTTTATTATTGTTATGGTACTCACCTCACTCTTTCTCTTTTTAGATGGAGCTGCCTTGTGGGCTGACAAACTTGGGCAACACCTGTTACATGAACGCCACAGTGCAGTGTCTGCGCTCCGTGCCTGAGCTCAAATCTGCACTCAGAAGGTGTCAGTTTATAGACATGCTGGGTTTAAATGTGTTTTGTTGAAAGGCTCTCCTTGAAAACCATACCATGGTCTCACACATACTGATTGTTTCCATTGTATGGTCCTTGCTGGGGTTTTAGGAGTTTGCTAAAATTGTCTCTCCTCCTTCTAGGTATGCAGGTGCTCTGCGATCCTCAGGAGCAAATGTACCATCACAATACATCACTGCAGGTAAAACACAGTGAAATGTTAACATTAAGAATCACAGGCATAGGTTTATATCATATCTTTACTAATCCAATCCTTACTACTACGTCTGCATCCTCAGCCCTGCGTGACTTGTATGAGACCATGGACAAGACCTCATCCAGCCTCCCACCCATTATTTTGCTGCAGTTCCTTCACATGGCCTTTCCACAGTTTGCAGAGAAGGGAGACCAGGGACAATACCTCCAGCAGGTAAGTTGTCCCCCCCCCCCACCGAAATGGATACAGTTAGTACTTACAAACTTACAGTGACCATTGTATGAAAATATCAGGACATGTTTGAATTGTTCCCTCATCCTTCAGGATGCCAATGAGTGCTGGCTGCAGATGATGAGAGTACTTCAGCAAAAGTTGGAGCCCCTAGAGCCGGAGACTCCCATGGAGGTAGGACCTTATGTGTTTTGTTCTATGCTGTAATTATTAAGTTAGTTCTGTGCAAACAGAATGTTTCAATTTAGCCTTTTCTCTTTGAATCAACAGACCGAGGCTGGGAGTGCAGCTGCCTCGGCCTCCTCAAAAAAGAACTTCATTGACCAGTATTTTGGTGTGGAATTTGAAACAACGTATCCTTTCAACATGCATTCTGTTGACTGAATTTAAAACAACTTGTATATATTGGTTCAGTATAGTTTGGACGCTAA